CAACACACTAAATTATCTGCACACTCTATCCTCATTCCTCCTGCTCTCATCTCTTGCTGTTTCCCCCTCTTGCTTACTCTTTTCAAGCCACAATGGCCACCTTGCTTTTCCTTGAATACGATGTGTACATTCTTGTCTTGCGGCCTTTACATCAGTTGATCTGTCATCCTGGAATCACTGCCCTTCCCCACGAGATCTGCATGGCTTACTCACTCTCTTCCTTCAGGTCCCTCCTCAAATATCACCTTATCAGAGAGGCCTTTCCTGACCACCCTCTATGAAATAGCTTGCACACACACACACACACACACACACTCAATACTTTTTCCCCATTACCCAGCTTTACTTTTCTGAATAGCACCTTTCACCACCTGGTGTTTTTAAGTTGTCTGTGGATCTCTCCTACACTAGACTATAAACTGCATGAGGACTCCTGCTCACCCATCACCTATACTGGTGTCTGGTACTTAGCAGGTGGTCAGTGAATGAATGAATGAATGAATGAGAAGTGAATGAATCTACGTAGTTGCATTTTTAGAGAATACTCCACTTCCCAAACAAGCTGCAGAATCTAAAGGTAAACATTGGCAGGGATTCCCAGCAATAGATTCAGAAACTTAGCCCAGCAGGCTCATTGAAAACACTGAAACACTGAAAAAGCCAACAGGGACCATAGCTCTGGTGTCACTAACAGCAGCTGGTCAGATTTTGAGGAAGCATTTTTTTAAGAAACATCTGAGCAGTTTTAAAATGGAAAATATTGGGCATCTATTTCGGCACTTTAAGTTTTTTTTTTTTTTTTTCTGTTTGACCAAAGTAGGTTAAAATTAAAATATTAAGATAAATATTTGTTTATTGGTTGCAAATTCCTGCAATTCAAATGAAACTCACCTTTCCAAACTGCACCTTCTGACGCTTTACTTAGCACATATCTAAACCAGGCTCCACCAGCCAGCCCCTCTGCTCCTCAGCTCAAAGGAGTTTTGAAAACCTGCTGAGAATTATCGCAGATAGGTTTGGCCATTACCCAGTCATTCGATTGAGTCATTCGCCTTTCTTAAATGCCCACAGTTGGCAGAATGTGAGGGGATGAGGATCCGCCTAATTCGGGGTAGGTGGGGATGCCCTGCGCGGTTGACACTCGGAGCACGGGTTTCGCTTGCAGGTGCTGGGCGGTGGAGAGCCCCGAGGAGGAGGAGGAGGAGAAGGAGGTAGAGGAGAGACGGGCAGCAGCCAACCCATACGACTTCAGGAGGCTCCTGCGCAAAACGTCCCAGCGCAGGCGTCTTGTCCAGCAGTCCTAGCCGCGCGAGGCAGACTCCGCGGTCGGAAGCCGCTCGAGCCTGCGGGGTAGCAGGGGCCAAGCGGGCACTGTGGTGCTGGCACCAGTAGGCACTGAAGCTGCGGCCCTGATCACAGGGTCTGCCTGCTGCCCTTGGCCCTCGAGTGCCAGGACCAGCCTTTCCGTGCTCCGGAAGAAGAGACCTGGGAGCCCTCGGGAAACCTCTGACGCCGCCTCTCCGAACACCCGCACCCTCCTTTCTCACCAGTCCGCCAATTGGGGCATCCCTGTCCTTGTTCCCCTAATCTATCTTTTTTTGTGTGTGTGACGACTCCTGTGGACTCCAGGGCGCTTGGGATTTCGCCAACCCCTCTCTCATTTGGGTGACTTCACAGATTCCTTTTTTCTTGGAAACGGCTTTCACCAGCCCACAGAACACTCTCTAGCGGTTGAATCGTAGAGATAAAAGCCCGGGAGTGTGGTAGGGAAGAAGGATGAACTTCATCTCAAACGTGGCTCTTTCTCTTGCTTTGGTTATTAAGGTTACTAAATAAAGGAAGTGACTTGGAAAGCCCGTGGTTTGTATAACTGATCTCTCTTTTTCCCCTCTGAGGCTTCTGCCATAAGGCTGCGCTAGTGACCGTGCCCAAGGAGGGGCTTTGAGATGCCTTCAGTGAATTATCAGCACCACCCAGCCACTTCAGAAAAACATAATCTAAGCGAGAACTCCTTGCTGCACAAACGGGGCAGCCTCCAATCTCTAAATCCCAACACACCACACATTCCCATGTGCATGCTGCCTTCCCAATCTGTGTAACTATCTTTGGCCTCATCTGCAAAGATGCTGGTACCCCCACTGGGTGGGACTGTCAGATTTCAGGTTCTCCTAGTCTGCAGATTTGGGGCCATCTTCGCTACTCCAACTTTGCGTGTATTTAAAATGATGGAAACTAGTGGGTGGACAGAAGTTTGCATTCCTGGATTGACTGCCTCTTATTCTAAAACCGGTTTAAGCTGCTTTATGAAAGTGACACTCCTATCTAAGCGACCTGGAGAGGGTGAGGACAGATGATGAGGTTGCATGGAATCAGAAGAAGGATTCTGCCCAGTACTGGGCTTACCCCTTGTGTGGGTGCCCTTGGCTTCTGCATCCACAGGCCGGAGTCAAAACACTCGGGAAATATTAGAGGAATTAGTGAGGGCATGTGCAGGGGCTCAGAATGTTGCACCGGTGGTCCACAGGGCATAGTAATCTCTCCAACTTAAAAAGTTGGCACCAAAAGGTCCCCAGAGACAATTTGTGCAATCTCTTCATTTTACAGTTGCAATCCCGCCAAGGGGAAACCTGCAGCTATGTCAGGGAAGAGTCCAAGTGCACTCCAGGCCTTCTTTTTCCCTAGCTTAGCAGCACAGCCTCTCTGGGGTTGGGACTCAAAGTAAGGAATGACCCTCAGCTGTGTGAATGCACTGAGTAGCTGCCTATGGCGCAGCACCCAAGAAATCAGCACGGTTCAGCACGGCAGGTCACAAGAGAGAGGGTAGGAGGGACAGGAGTGTCTATAACCCAAAGTGATCCAGCCCCCTTCTGCCTCTAGCCACCTATCCACCTGCCTCCAGAAGGCCTGGGTTTGTGGGGAGGGCAGAGCAGGGACAGGAGGTAAGGAGTAGTAAGCTGAGCTCAGCTTTTCTACCTGTCCCCCTTCAATCCAGGCTTCCTTCTGGAGTGGCTCCTGAAGACCAGAGCCCTGGCATTCAGGCCCTTCTATGACTTCTGTTGGTGTAGGAAGAATATAGGGAAGGAAGCAACAGACTCCCTCCCTAAATTTTCCTGGCACCAATGTTTTCAGTGAGAACAGAAAAGAGAATGGCAAAGGCTTGGTGAATGCTTGGTTGCAATGTTTTTGTTTTCTTTTTCTTCAGTGGCTTTTTGTTTCTTCTCCTTTTTAGTTCCATTTTCCCTTCTTTCTCTGTTCTTTGACATTTAAGCACTGGAAGGACACAGGAAACAATGTACAAGACACTCTTCTTTGGGTCAGCCTGAGACCCCTATCTTAGGAAACTACAGACATCTAAGGAAGCAGTCTCTAGGAGCTGGAGGATTGGGTCTCTCCCCTCATTCAAGGAAGGGCCTTCGAAAGCGTGCCCCCCCCCCCCCGCCCCGCCCCTGGCCCGCCTTTCCTTCCCGTTCACTGGATGCCTCCTTTGTGAACTAACGACTGTAATTATTACCTCCCAGAGCTCTTTTGTTATCTCCAATCCCAAGCCCTGAAGACGGGGAATGGGCTCTTTTGTGAAATGAAGGTCATTACAAAGCAAATTGCCATCAAGGGAGGGACAGCCTTCAGGAAAGACAAATCAGATCCCTGTCTGCATCCGAAGCTGGGTGCGTTTAAATAAAAAATATAAATACCACCATTAGATCCAAAGTACTCCAGATCTGTGGGATTTAATGGAGTTAAAACAGTAACATTTGAAGCCATTGCTTTACCAAAAAGAAAAATATAATCAGCTAAATTCAGGTGTTTTAATCCATTTCTTCTTGGGGTTTTTTTGTTTTAAATGCTTGTTTTTAAGAACCTGTATGTTTTCAACCACTCATTTACAGTGGAAAGTTCTGCAACCCTAGCCTGCTGGCTTGGAGCAAAACCTTTGCAGGATTTGATGTGCATTTAAACAAAGAACCAGCCTCTGTGAGGCTGGAGAGAGCTGCGGAGCTGCGATGCCTGAAGTACAGATGGCTGAACCACAAGTCTTTATGTTTCCGGAGTTGTTACCTTGGTCACCTGGAGTGTCAGCGCCAGGAGAGCCAGAAAGAGGAGCCAAAATGAGTTTTTGACCACCCAGGCTCCCACAGCCTGGTCCAGACTTCTCCAACTAGCCCGCTCAGCACCAGCCTTCGGCAGGACGCTATCACCGTCTGACTGGTTCCCTGCTCTCACCCTGGTGCCTGGGCCCAGCTGCAATAGTGTGGATCCCATGACTTCTTAGGGAAGCCCTGCACTCAGGCAGCGAGAAGAAGACAGCGCTTTGTGGAGAAAATTGACCAGGAACATTTGTGCTCCAGGACACAGGACTTGGGCCCGTATGCGTCCAGCATGGGCCCCAGGATGTCCCTTCTAAGTGAGGGTTGAGGGGTGGTCTCCCAGATGGGATCCCCGGGTCTCTGCTTTGGTGGCTGGTTCAGGAGGTCAGAGAAAGAAAATGGCTTGTGAACACAATGGAAATGACAGGCGCTCTGGCAGGCGCGGAGAAGGCAGCCGCCTCGGGAAGCCGACGGCAGCCCTTTCCCCTCTCTCCCTTCCTCTCTCCTAGAGCCCCGGAGTTGCGAGGTGCACTTGAAGTTGATCTCGACTGCCAGGCGAATGCAGCGCACTGTCAAAGGGCTCCCAATCCTCAGGGCGTCCTCCGTCTGTAACAGCTTTTTGTAGAAAGGAAATCATCAGAAAGATTCTTTCTTCTCGTTTCTTTATTAGAAAAAGAGAAAACCCTTCCTACTAGGAAGAGAGAGCCAATCTCGCGCTCCCGGGTCACCCGCTACCGCGAAGATTTTCTGGGGGAGGAGGTGGGGGGTGCCATTGGTTTGAGTCCCCTTAAAACGAAGGCCCTGCGGGCGATGCCTTCTTTCCTACTCGGATTTGGAAAGCTGAGATTGCTTAGTTGGAAACCCTGTTCTCCCCTCCCAGGCGCACACAGATTCCCCTTACTGGCAAGGAGCGGGCCCTTCCACGCCTCTGCGGGCCAAGGTCACCAAATGACCTGATCCCATCCCCCACCCGCCGTCAATGCTGCCGACTCTGGCCGCTCTGCCTCGTTCCCTTCCAAGAAGTTTCCATTCGTTTTATTTGTTTTCTCCAGCACAAGGTCCTCGGAAGACTCCAGCGTGGATTTTAATTGCCTCAATCAGCAGTCATCCTCCCCAGCCATCACTCAGAGCCTGGACAGTGGGCCCTGCGATCTAGCCCTTGGCTGCGCAGAACTGTGCGCCCGGGGGACGGCGCGGTTCAGCAGGCAGGCGTCAGGCTCTACTAAGGCGCTGAAATGAGCCCATCAGCGGGTAGGAGCCCTTCACCCGCCGTCTCCTCCCCAGGCTCGTGAGAGGCGCTTGATGCTGGCCGGGCGGCGCGATCTCTCGAGGTCGCAGCGACCTCAGCACCAGCTAGGAGGAAGGCGGCGACGGAACCCCGCTTCCTTCCCCTCAGCTGGCCTCAGACCTCAAACAACACCCCAGTCTGTGCACACAGAAAACTACTCTGGGCCACATCCCGCCTCGCCGATGTGTCCCCAGTCTGCCTCTTGCTGAGGCCGACGCGCAGCGGCGGTGGCAGCACCCGGGACAGCGGCCGCCGGCACTTCTCGCCTCTGGCTCGCCACAGGACGCTTTGGCACGCCTCCCACCCTCGCACTCTGACTCCAGCTGGCGTGCACAGTCTGCCTCGCAACCTCACGACTCAGCTCCCTCCCTCTCTCCTGGTTTTTCCTCCGCCACCCCCACATTCATCCCCACTGGGCTCCCTCTCCCTCAAATGCTCTCGGGCTCTCGGCGCTTTCCTGAGTCCGGGCTCCGAGGACCCTTAGGTCGTCCCCGTCTCTTTTAAGGCTCCGCGGCTTCCAAAGCATTGCCACGTCCCTAAACCCTGTCTCCAGCTCGCGCACACACACACGCACACTCAGACACGCGCGTTTTCTATCCCGACGTGACACCCGCCCTCGCCGCGCGGCCCCGCCGGTCCCCGCGCGGTGCCCTCCTCCCGTCACACGGGCACGCACGCGCGCGGAGGGCCAAGCCCAAGGCAGCTCGCCCGCAGCTTGCACTCGCAGGTGACCTGCTCCAGTCTCCAACGCCGATGGCATCTCCGGGCTCCGGCTTTTGGTCCTTCGGGTCTGAAGATGGCTCCGGGGATCCCGAGAATCCCGGCACAGGTAGGAAAGAGAATGGGGACCTGCGGCGGGAGAATTTTGCGGTAGTCTGGGGTTTGCGGGGCTACGGGGAAGCCGAAGGAGGTTTTTCCACCTGCAACAGCAAACTTCTTCGGGCGCTTCTCCCTCTTTCGGGCTAAGTCCTTGACGGCCCAAGAGCTCAAGACCTCTACAGACTCTTGTCCCCTGGGAAGACGCCCAGATAGTCTCAGGCCCCTTCAACGGAAGGCTGAAAGAGCCCTCTAAAGACCGGGGTGTCTCCAGGACGTGGAATTCCGTGGGCTTGGGGCGCTGTTAAGATCTGGGTGTCTGGACCCTGGGGAGGGACGGAGTGACCGTGAAGATAGAACAAAAATGGGAAAGGTGAGAGAATTCTTGGTCTAGAAAGCCAGCCTGCGAAAAAATGGATTGCTTCAGTGTTAGGAAAACTCGCCCAAGCGAGGCAGGGAGAGTTTGCCTGAGCCGACTGGCACCTGGAAGGGCAGCGGTGTGGGCTTCTCCTTGGGAAACAGATTCAAGGAAACGAGGGGCGGCCAGGGCGGCCAGGTTCCCCCTTGCCTCTGGCACGTGCCGACAGCACTAGGTCCTGAGCCGCCCGCAGGAGGACGGCGGCCCCTGCCCGGACCCCCAGCTGTTTGATATTCACACGGAACGAAATTTCACACGTCCGTCCGATGTTCTCTTTCTGCCTCGCTGCCCGCCTGCCTGTCTTTCCTTGCAGCGCGAGCCTGGTGTCAAGTGGCTCAGAAGTTCACGGGCGGCATCGGAAACAAACTGTGCGGTAAGTGCCCAGGGACGGGGGCGGGCAAGGTCGCGCGCTCGCGACCCGCGGGGTCCAAGCCGTCCTCTCACCTCCGCATCGCGGTCAGCAGAGCCGCGGATTCCTGGCTGCGGGTGGGCGGGAGCGAGGGAGCCGGGTCCCGCGGAGGATTGACGAGGCCCGCGCTCGGTGTCCTTGCCCAGCCCTGCTCTACGGAGACGCGGAGAAGCCGGCGGAGAGCGGCGGGAGCCAAACCCCGCGGGCAGCCGCCCGGAAGGCCGCCTGCGCCTGCGACCAGAAGCCCTGCAGCTGCTCCAAGGCGGATGTCAACTACGCGTATCTCCATGCAACAGGTAAAGGCTCCGCGCCGAGCCCCGGGGCGCCTCGGCCCAGCTCTCTGCCCCGCCCACCGCGGCCTGGCGGGGGACCTCGCACTGAGAGCCGGACTGGGGCGAGGTGGCTGCGGAGGCGGGACCTGCCAGAATCTTTAGATGAAAGCGAGAAACGTGTGACCTGCCCGCTGGGTCCAAGTCCACGAACTGGCCTCTGAACGCCAAGAGGGCTCTGAGGCCGTGGCGCTCTTCTCCCAGCGCGGCCCTTGGGGTGGCAGGCGGCCAATGACCCAGGCGCTCGCTCGCCCACTGTATCGAGGACGGCTGGCTTCCGTAGGCCGTTGGGGCCCCGGTGGGACTCGATTTTCAAATATCGTGCCCGAGAATTCAGGATTGCATAATTTTTTTTATGTCTTTAGATCACGAGAGTGATTTGTAGCTGCAATCGCACAAGAGAACAATTCTATTCACCTGAAACTCGCGCACAAGTTTTACCCCCGTGCGTTTACAGTCTCCCAAATGCACGCGCGCGCACACACATGCAGACACACGCACAGGTTCCTCTCTCTCTCTCTCTCTCTCTCTCTCTCTCTCACACACACACACACACACACAGAGAGAGAGAGAGAGAGAGAGAGAGAGAGAGAGAGAGAGAGAGAGAGACTGACGGCCGGCTGTTCCCTTCCTAACAGACCAGAAATCCTAATGCTCCTTTTCCACTTTGGTTTGCCCGAAGGCATTCCAGACAAACTCTTCTGACGTGAAACCTTTCCATAAACATTTATGATGACTTAACTCCTGTGAAATAGATAAACGGAGGCACACGTTCTTCATAAAAAGAAAGCCAGCAATATGAGTTATGAATTGAAATGCAGGAGTTAATTTGGGGAAGAGGAGAAATCGTAATTTCTCTCGTTCATTCTCTTCTTCTTTGAAAAATGCCTCCTTTCTAAAGAATAATGTTCTGGTTTCCAAAAGCTTTATTTAACATGAAATTTCTCAATTCAAAGAGATGTTATTGCCTTATCAAGATCTTGCCTTGAATATTTTCACAGTAAAATTAAAATGTGACATTTTAATTCCGTTCTTTAGACTTGTTGCCGGCGTGTGATGGGGAAAGACCCACTTTGGCGTTTCTGCAGGATGTTATGAACATTTTACTTCAGTATGTGGTGAAAAGTTTCGATAGATCAACCAAAGTGATTGATTTCCATTACCCTAATGAGCTTCTCCAAGAATATAATTGGGAATTGGCAGACCAACCACAAAATTTGGAGGAAATTTTGATGCATTGCCAAACAACTCTAAAATATGCAATTAAAACAGGTATTGTCTCATCGAAAATAATAAAGCTCTTTTTTCTTTTAAAATTTTTATTTTTCTATAAAATGTTTTGTTTGATGGAGTTACTGATATTTTCAAAATTGTGAAGTTATTTTCATGAAGTAAAAAGTAGTCATTATTGTCATGAATCTAATCCAAAGCACCTTCCACTGTTATTTTTCATGCTTCTGAAGTTGATAATGTCAGAAACATGATTTAAGTGTAAATCATCAGGTTTTACGTTGCATGTATTTGGACCCGGAGATTAACCACTGGTGTAGAAGCAAAAATTTATCAGTAGAGGCCAGCAGACTCAAAATGGAGAAAGAGAATATGGAAATAAAAGCTCAAGAAATGCATGATCCAAACAAAACCCCGAATACCAGTGCTGTGCTGGTATTTTCTTTGGCATCGAACTGGTTAGAAACAGGACTCACCACCCTATTAATCATTGAGGGATGTTTCCACATTTTCTCAAATGGCCAACCTTTCCAATTTGAATTCAGATTTTCACTTATTTTTTTAAGGAAATGTGCACAACACACAAGCAGACATGCTGGAAGCTAGCTTAGCAATTCAGCCATGTTATTCAAGGATGTGTATTCCTCCCAGCCACTGTGTATATGAGATAAAGAAAAAAGGGGGGAAAGGCAAATCAGATATCCTTAGGGGGAAATTTAAAAAAATTTTTTTTGTGGTCTCTTGGCTTTTCACAGGATTCTTTATATTCCATCCATGTGACAGCTTTGTTTATAACGTTTATTTGGGTCCATTCCGAGCTTTCATGTTATCTACGCAAAGTCGGCTATTCATCTGCCCAGGTCTTAATTATCCTTGCTTTTTACATTGTCTCTAATCATCCTGATACACGAAGGCATGGCACTTCATTAAGGCAATAAAAATAAGTATGAATGAATTTTCAGGTGCAGAGAGGACTTTGTAGTTCTAAATTGATGTGTAGTCTTTAAAAGATTTGCAAATAAAATACGTGAACTATGACATGAACGTTCATCACCGTAGAAATGTCATCATTTTAGACTGCAAATTTTTTGCCGATGAATTATCAGTATTATGCTAATCAATAACAAACATTCTTAAAATGTTTGCTGTGAGAACTTTAGTTCTTTTTTTTTTTTTTTTTGTTCACATTATTTATACCAACAAAGAAGAAAGGTATGCATATGAAAAGCCTTGGGACATTGATATCTATCAAAGTCAGTAGTTTTGAAGGTATATTAGACATAATCCTCAATTAATGTTCATGGAGAACCCACATGATGTTTACAGCAGGCATTAAAAAATGTCCTACCCCTGCTCAGCTTCTCCTGCATCAATAATGCAATCCTGAGTAATGCTTTTAATTCATTCTTGTTTGACCCATTCCCCATACCTAATATTTAGATATATTAATAGTACATTGCTACCTATTGTTTTTATTGCTACCAAACCAAAAAGAACCTATGAAAATGTTTTATGTCTTCATCCTTGAAAGCTAGCAGTGCCTGAAATGCAGTCTAAAGAGTTAAGATAATGGGAATTGCAAGCCAATGAAAATAATAGTTCTGTCTATCAATGTTCCATTTAGTGCCAGGAAAAGATAGGCTAATTCAATACTTGGATTTTGCCATAATGCTTATGAAACTGTTAGTCAGGTGTCACTATAATGCATTTTATTTAAAGTTCAGATAAAAACGTGATGGATTAAGTTGGATTTCTAGGCAAGGCATATCAATATCAATTCAATCTCTCAATAGTTTTTATAACATATTTAGTCTGCTGGCCTTTTCCTTCCAAATAGCATTTTGAAAAATTAACAGCAGTCCTCTTCCCTATTCAGCTGGCAAGGCTATAGATTTCTGTACTATAACTATCATATTTGTCATCTAGCACTATTTAGGGTATGTCAAATTAGTTGCCATCCCTGCTACCACCAGACATTTTAATGCTCCTCGGGAGATTATTTTATAAAATGCATATTGTCATCTTGTTTCAACTGAGAGACCTTAACCTGATATCCACTTGGGCTCCAAGCTGAGAGAGGAGTGAAGGGCAGTGGAAAAATGAAGTCTTCGTGGATTGTTAAAATTACTTCTGTGAAAAGAAATGTTGGAACACAGAAAACTGTCCAGAGAAGGATATAATTCACATTTGCAGAGATCATTAGATTTGGTGCTGGTGGTAGTGGTGCTGGCTGGGGAAGAGGAGGAATTAATGTGATCCTGAATATTTAACCAAAACATCAGACAAAGGGAATTAAGCCTCAGTAGATGAGGCCATTCTGGTGTGAGTTTTGCCAGGACGTTAGGAGCCCTTTGGACCGACTTTTGGACTCTTCCCAACTGATTGTAAGCACCGGGATCAGAGTTGCCTGAGGCTGGTTGTTCCCAGTCTGCTCATCCTTCCCTGCTCATTTGCTAGTCTGCAGGGAGCATCCCTGAGTCTGAGCTGCCGATTCTCACATCTCAAGCTCGCCATCTTCCTGGCCTCACAGGCTCTGTGTGGCTGCCGGATGCCTGACGCACTGCGCTCTGCTCTCATCACAGGGACTGGCAGGGTGGCGACAGCAGCAGGAGGCCAGGGGCTGCCAGGACAGCTGACTGGTGGGGACAGGTCTCACAGTTCCTCAGAGAGAGCCCTGCCCGTATTTGCTGGGCAGCCCTAGGAAGCAGCCTGTAGTGGCCACAGGACAAGAGTAAATGTCACTAGAGGAGTATTTCTGCCAGAAATCAAGAGGGCCTATTGATCTGACCTGTCAAACCATCTCCCTCCCTGTTTTCACATCATGATCAGGGAATGAAAATTTTGAGGCAGGAGAGAGATTTAGGTAAAATGGCAGACCAAGATCGAAAAATATAGAGGGAGGAAGGGAAACCCAGCAATGAAAGCATCAAACTTGTTTTCATGGTTTGCGGAAAGCTATCATCAGGGTAGATTGGCCTTCTGCTATCCAGGGGCACAACACACCCCTTTCTGTCTTATGCAGAGGTTTTCATTCCCAAGTTTCCCTGGAGTTAAATACTGTCTAGTCATAGACATTACATCCAGAAAAAGCATATGAATTGAAAGAATAAGATTAATGGATAGATCTGATAATCCTTATTAATTTCCTCACTTGAAAAAAAAATGGCTTAGAGAAAGAGAAATGAAGGAGCATCGGGAGGGAGGAAACGGCTGTGAATTTCAGCTGCGAGTATAATGAGATGGGGAGTCAATGAGGCAGAGAGGAGAGCAGGGTTGCTCCAGACATCAGCAGCCACAGCAGCAAAAAGGCCTTTTCACCCTTCTTGGATGGGTAAACTGAGGGGGGTCAGCATCAGAGGTAGAAGGGTTCTGCACGAGGCCACAAGGACATAAAACAATGCTGGAGAATGCACACTAGATACACAAATCCTGATCCCACTAAAATGTGCGTCTTCCCAGCTTCTATCTTTTCCCAGTGTCTAACTCTCTGGCCACATGCCTGAGGCTGATAAGAGAGCACTCCAGTGCAGGAGATAAGCTAGACATTGACTTTTGTCTCTGCTTTTCCCCATTGCCTTCCTTTATCATGTTTTGCCTGTGCTGGAGATGAGAGAGATCACATCCCAGACTTCAGACAGATGTCCAGTACGAGGAAGATACCTTTTTATCAGATGCTGTTTCCATAATTGCCCATCATCCAAAATTTTTGCTTCTGTGCAAATCACGGACCTATTGATGATAGGCTTTTGTGAAGTAAGAGGAGAAAACTGAGTGCTAAATATTTATAATTACATTTTAAATAATAGCCTCAGGAGAATGTGGATGTCAATCCATTTAGAGAGTTTTAGAGAAATCCAGAAGTTAATTAGATAAGCCTTGCTAATGGACTAATCAGTCCATTGAATATGTCTTTATGCATCTTGTTGATAAAACAGTTGTGTTGACTGTATGTGGCTTTATTTTAAATCACAACTATGAAGGAGTTCTGTTGTTTATAATCAACAAAGAAGAACTGACAAGAATTAGCTTTGTCCACGCCATCTTTAGACAATCATCACCTTTTGAATCCAGGGCAAATCACTCAGCGGAGTGTCCTATTTTCTCATTTTTGCCCTGTCTTTTGTAATCATCAGTCATTTGTCACTGATATTATTATGAATGTTGGCATGCCTGGCGGATGTCACAGTATGACTGATTCTCAGGATGACTACAACAAAAAAGGACTTCTAGCAGCATGAGTGTAAATGAGAAGCAACCTGTCTGAATTGCTTTGGGTTGCAGTAGCATTTTAGCTTGCAAAAATATTGAAAGTAGAGAATAAATTATGTCCAGATTGCAAACCACATTTGTTATTTTTTGTATAGTATGTTTAAAGGAAGATTTGTAGGGCATGCTTTAAGAAATATCAAAACGTAAAGTAGTCTTCATGGTTAGAGGAAATGCTTTAATGGTGTGTGTATGTGTGTGTGTGTTTGTGTGTATGTGTGTATGTGTGTGTTCTTGCATATATACGTGTGTACATGTTGGATTTCTACTTACGGATTTCCTGTCACTGACAGATCTTTCACGCTCCTTTAGCTAGAGAAATCATGTGTTTGAGAGGCATTCATTTTCATTGGAGGTAATCCTGATTCTGACATTCTGTTTTATTCAGGGCATCCCAGATACTTCAATCAACTTTCCACTGGATTGGATATGGTTGGATTAGCAGCAGACTGGCTTGACATCAACAGCAAATACTAACATGTAAGTAGCCAAATGTATTTTTATGTAATTTAGGACAATTATTAGTGACATTCCATAGTCTTTACCTCTTATGTGAAAATCTGTTTTTATTAAGTAGCCACTAAAATAGTGATACAAAGTTCTGAAGTTTAAGTGTTCACTTTAATGTAACAGAAAGTAGTCCTGATATATCTTCCATGTAATCAAACTCTACAAAATTTTTAAAACACAAAAGAGATTTTTTTCGGACATTTTTGATTTATTATTATGCGTAATGTCAAAGACAAATGGGACCAGATATTATCTTTTAAATCATGTTACTCTGCATTATTTTTTATTTATTCAATACGATAAATTCCCCTTGTGCGTTAGGTCAATAATTGAGGCTCTTGATTTTAGGGAAATAGAGAAAATAAACAAACCTTTAGAAGGCCTTTTTGAAATAATTTTCTATCTGCTTAATGTTATAATCTTAACACTTATAAATGTATGTTTTGAAAAAGGAAATAGTTCTGTAGCTATTGTAATGATTGTAAATTATTTCTTTGAGTTACAAAGGTAAAATGTGGCCATAACTACATTTCAGGTTTACCTATGAAATTGCCCCAGTATTTGTGCTTTTGGAATATGTCACCCTAAAGAAAATGAGAGAAATCATTGGCTGGCCAGGGGGCTCTGGCGATGGGATATTTTCTCCAGGTACATGATATTTCAACTTTCTTTGTGGTTTTTCTTCTAATATGCAATGCCTTGTTGTAAGCCTAGGGAAGATTAAATATATAGCCTGTGTCTCTGCTCAGATTAAATAGACTGTGTGTTGATCAAAAGAATGAATGTGATTAAGTGCACATGACCATTGGACATGCCTCCAAGCTAAGTAACCCATGCTTGAACATCAGTTATTTGTGTCCAAAAAGAGCATCATCAGAGATGGTACTTACCCAGTGCTTCTACTGTGATCCTATAAGCAGGATGTATGGATAATGTGGAACAAAGGAATCAAGATTCCTAATCAGGAAATTAGCTCTCTGTCACTCTTCCTAGAATTAGTGAAAGGAAACAGGTAGCCTCATTTATTAAAGCATTTGCTGTTCAAGATTGCCTAGCAAGGTAGATCTACTCAATAGAGGATATGGACCACCGTATTTTTGAAATAACAAGCAGCGAAGTGGACTTACACTAATTTCAAGGAGGACAGAGAATACCTTGGGAGAGAATTTCTTAGAGAAAAAAAAAAAAAAGAGGGTTATGATATCTTCAAGAGCTTTCTCATCCCTTTTCTTTTTTATCATGGCATTCAGTCTTTTCCATTCTGCCTTTTATCACCAGTCACTGCATTCTAAGCTCCATTATTTACACCTCTTCCAGCCAAGAGAATCAACCTGAAACAAAAAGCTATGCCCTCGGTTTATGATTCTGTGTGTGACCTTGGTCTGATGCAGAAAAGGAATAGAAGTTAGTAAGACAGTGGAAAGAGAGAGTCACTGACCCATGGAAAAGAAACCCGACGTGTAGACCATCAGCTAATCAGTGGCAGGAGCGGGAGTCATTAGTCCACTGAGACAGAACCCACCTGGGAGAGAGGCCAGAGCCACACTTGTCGTTGTGTCAGACAGAGCATATGGCCAAGTGGTTGTGATCTCTCTTCAGTAAATCTACAGAGACAAGCAGATGATGAGAGAGAGGGAGGAAGAAAAGAATGAGTAGAAAGAAGAAATGATAAATAACCAAGACCAGGGCTTAAGTTAAGCCTGTTTGCCTGCAAGCTCTGTTCGGCTACTTTATGTGTTTAAATATATAGCACGATTTTTCAGGTGCTGAAGGAAAAGGTGTTAGTTAAATGGAAGGGAAAATTAGCCTTTTTAAAAGTCATTGAACAACAGCTGTGATGAATTTTAACCTAGCCTTTATTCTGTAGGGCACTTAGTACTTAGTTTTCCTTTGGAAAGCCATCCCTGTTGGGGGAGCTTCGTCATCATTGCCTGATACTTTGGAAACATTTTTCGGGAGGAATGAAGTGGGATACGGAAATTCTCATGATTTCTACCTTTCTTCTTCCTACCCTTGTGTGGTTGGTTTTAGGACTGATCTGTCCCTGAGACGAACCAAGAACATGCTGGGCTCTGTTTTTTTTTTTTCTTTTATTTGAATTTATTTTATTGTGAATTTATTCCCATGCCATAAGTTTTAATGGTCCCCAGGAGTATGGAGAGAACAGCTGTACATGTTGATCCTGAACACTGACTAATTTGAATAAGAGCCAGGCCCAATTTACCTGGCTGGTCTGAAAACCTACATGCCCCAGAAAACATATACCCAGAGAATTCTCTTTGGCAGTTCTGCTAGGCCAGTTATGGAGTTAGAGCTTACCCTCCACACTTATTGACGATGGGGGATTTTCACGTGGAGAAGACTTCAGCTTGAGTATGGAAATTATAGGCTTCCTTGGAGCCTAAAGACCCATTTGCTCTTACCCCAAGTTGCAAGCCATAGATACCACACTACAGTGCAATGCAAACATTGCAAAGTCAGGAGAAGACAGCAGAGGAGGTCATGGCAACCTGTTTTTGCTCTACTTTCTACAAGACATCACAGAGGAGAAGTGGCTCATCACCTCCTTACTCGCTATGGATGCTATTCTCGGGAGCATCCAGCCTTGCTCCTGCAGTAAAGGGTCTTACAATTTAAGAGTAGGGATGGAGAATGCCACACATCTTGTGGGTCTGGGATCTAAAAGTTGCATTCCCTGGGATTCAACGTGAAGGATTAGATCTGTTACTTAAAACATACCGCTTTACACCTACGTCAATAATATTCAAAGGCATCATGCTTTGTGGAAAGTCTTTTAGGACTCCTAGAAGAAATCTGCTTTTGTGATGTCACCTACCCTGGGAACCAGAGAAGTACAGAGCACTCCTTACTGCTCATCAGGTCACAAAGCACGAAGACTCAGGAGGGGCTAGGAAAGAAAGCTTGGCTTGGTCATAGACCTTTTCCTAGCTAAAAGAGTTTTCATAATATTTCAGCACTTGCCTTTATTTTATTTATTTATTTATTTATTTTTTTTTTGAGACAGAGTCTCACTCTGTCACCCAGGCTGGAGTGCAGTGGTGTGATCTCGGCTCACTGCAACCTCCACCTCCCGGGTTCAAGCAATTCCTGTGCCTCAGCCTCCCCAGTAGCTGGGATTACAGGTGCGTGCCATCATGCCCGGCCAACTTTTGTATTTTTAGTAGAGATCAGGTTTTGCCATGTTGGCCAGGTGTTGAATTCCTGACCTCAGGTGACTCACCCACACCTCAGTCGACTCACCCACACCTCAGTCTCCCAAAGTAGCACTTGTTTTTTCATCCTTTTTTAGAAGATTCATAGGAATTAAGAGCAGGTAGGGCTCACGCATTTGTTCCCATGCCTCTGTTACACAAAGCGGTCTTCTCTGCCCAGAGGCCTGGAAGCTTCTTCCTCCCACTCAGGGCTGCTTAGCCTTTAGCCAGAGGACAGCTGAGCTGCAGAGTGAGGCGTGGCAGTGCAGAGCTGGAAGCCTCGGGAGAACTGCATGTGAAGAGCGCTTTCTTTGGGTACCTCTTCCCCTTTTTCTTCTCCCCTCCTTCCTTCTCCAGCCTCTTTAAGAACAACTAAAGCTGGCTGGTCCAAAGGTAGTGAGTTATGCCAATTGATTGTTCACAGTCAGTTACAGATCGAACTCCTTGTTCTACTCTTTTCCCCTTCTCACTACTGCACTTGACTACTGTTTAAAAAAAAGAAAGAAAGAAAGAAAGAAGGAAAAATAAATAAATAAATAAATAAATAACAACTAAAGCTGCAATTCTCAAACGAGGTCATTTTGCCCTCCAGGGGACATATGGCAAAATCTATAGATCCTTTTGATTGTCTGGGGGAGGGGGTGCTATGGGCATCTGGTGGGTAGAAACCAGGGATGCTGCTCGACACCTTGCAATGCCCCAGTCAGCCCTTGCCACAGTTATGTTGCCCAAAATGTCAGTAAGTGCACAGACCATGAGCTGGAATAGAATTTCCTTTCGAAGCAGACCCTGCTTCCAGCCACCTACAGTCAGCCTTTTAGACAGGGTGTCTGCTCAGAGCAGGCGTGACCTGGATTCTACTTATCCTGTGTCTCTGGGGTCCAGGAAGGAAGGAATCGCCCTCATTCTGACTGAGGACAGAGCCAGGATCTGGGTGATGAGTGCTCTGTGCCAGGCAGCCTGCTTGGGTCAGAGCTCAGGGCTAGAGAGGCAAAGGTCATGGCCCTGCATGGGCCATTCAGCTTGACATGGAGCCCTCCTGCTCCTTAGCCACCAGGAAGGAGAGCAACTCGGAGCACTCATGTGATGGCAGGGCCTGGGGTGTCCCCTCTGCCGTAGGAGGTAGAGGCAGTACCTTCACTCTGCCTCATGGCCTCATGCCTTCCACATCAGTGTATTAATTTGCATTCATAACAATCTGTCTTTTATGAGTTGCAAAAATCCTAAACTTCTAACAACCCCGGGTTTTCTTTGCTTGTCAAGTGAGACTCGAATCATAAGAATTCTCGACAACCTTAGGATGACATAGAAAAGTAATGCAATATGTACTGAAAATTCTTAGTTGTATGTTTTTCTATAATTATGAAATAAGTTTTGTTAGCTAATACAATTCTATTTCAATGATGTCTTTGCAAGGGAAGAACTATTGAGAGGGAATGAACAGATGAGTATGATAAGATGGACTTGGAGGTTGATCCTTTATAACAGGGGTCCCCAGCCCCCTGCGGTGGATCCCTAACGGGGCTGTGGTCTATTAGGAACTGAGCCCACAGCAGGAGGTGAGCAGGGGGCGAGCCAGTGTTACCTGCTTGAGCTCTGCCTCCTGTCAGGCCAGCAGCCACATTAGATTCTCACTGGAGCCTGAACCCATGAACTGCGCATGCGAGGGATCTAGGTTACATGCTCCTCATGAGAATCTAACTAATGCCTAATGATCTGAGGTAGAACCCGCCTTCAAGTGGAAAAATTATCTTCCACGAAACGCGTCACTGCTGTCAAAAAGGTTGGGGACTGCTTGGTAAGAACTGTTGATTAGGCTGGGCGTGGTGGCTCACACCTGTAATCCCAGCACTTTGGGAGGCTGAGGCGGGCGGATCACAAGGCCAAGGGATCGAGACCATCCTGGCCAACATGATGAAACCCCGTCTCTACTAAAAACAAAAATTAGCTGAGTGTGGTGGCGCGCGCCTGTAGTCCCAGCTACTCGGGAGACTGAGGCAGGAGAATTGCTTGAACCTGAGAGGCGGAGGTTGCAGTGAGTCCAGGTCGTGCCACTGCACTCCAGCCTGGCACCTGGCAACAGAGCCAGACTCTGTTCTAAAAAAAAGAGAGAGAGAGAGAGAGAGAGAGAATTGTTGATTAGGCAGAGCACGGTGGCTCATACCTGAAATCCCAGCACTTTGGGAAGCTGAGGCAGGTGGATCATACGAGGTCAGGAGTTTGAGACCAGCCTGACCAATGCGGTGAAACCCACCTGGCCAACATGGTGAAACCCGTCTCTACTAAAAATACAAAAATAAATAAATAAATAAATAAATAAATAAATAAAATTAGTTGGGCAAGGTGGTGCATGCCTGTGGTCCCAGCATCTTGAGAGGCTGGGACAGGAGAATCGCTTGAACTCAGGAGATGGAGGTCTCAGTGAGCTGAGATCATGCCACTGCACTCCAGCGTGGGTGACAGAGTGAGACCCTGCCTCAAGGAAAAAAAAAAAAAAGAAAAGAATTGTTGATTAACAGCTCGTACCAGTAACCGAGTAACAGCTGATTTATCCTAATCCAAAAGCAAGGCACTGAATGAGTTGAAATGAAAAAAATAATAAGTTTTCTTCATCCTGATATATGTAGGATTTTACAGACCTAACACAGAATGACCACACTCACAAGCTGGAATGAAAAGCAAACCGTTTTCTTTTAAATAATAATAATAATAATAAACCTCTTCAAAGGGCTCCCGGCAAGAGCAGAATCCTTTGCAGTTCCCCTGAGTGACTGAGATGGGGCATGACGTGTGGCATCTGTCCTGTCCCAGTGTGCCCTCTTGGGTAGCGCCTGTGAGTCTGAGGATTCAGTTTAGAGAAAGCCAGGGTTTTCTCCTGAGTCCAAGGAGGACTCACGTCAACGGAAGTAGGGAATGTTGCTTGCATGTGAAATGAGGTCCCTAATACATAAAGTAACTGTCTGTTGCTGTGCACTTTAGGTGGCGCCATATCTAACATGTATGCTATGATGATCGCGCGCTTTAAGATGTTCCCGGAAGTCAAGGAGAAAGGAATGGCTGCTGTTCCCAGGCTCATTGCCTTCACGTCTGAGCATGTATGTGTTTCTCTTCCTTCCAAATTTAAGGTTATGTTCCGTAAAGCCCAAGTTGAAGGAATGATGGCTGGAAATGCATTATCCCCAGAGGTCCTCTTTCTAGGAGACACCTTGGAAGAGAATGGGGAAGAAAGCTGAGTGGTACTATGGGGTGCCCTCCTTGACTCTTTGAAATTCAAGAAAACCCTCAAAGATAAGGAGGCAGCCTGGGCAACATAGTGAGACCCCATCTTCACAGAAAATTTAAAAAATTAGCTGGGTGTGGTAGCATAAACCTATCATCCCAGGACACTGAGGTGGGAGAATTACTTGAGCTCGGGAGGTCGAGATTACAGTGAGCTGTGATTATGCCCTTCACTTCTGTCCAATCAAGTTGCATGTTCGGGGAAGGGGAGGAGGAAGAGAGAAGGCAGAGGGGCTACAAGCTCATTTGGACCATTGTAGGCCTGTATAAGAAAACTCTGGAGTAGCCTTTGAGACAGTTTTTCTGTTTAAAAACTCAGCCCACTGATCTGATAGATATTCTGCCCTCATGGTGCCTTGAGCCTTTCTTTTCTTCTTCTTTTTTTTTTTTTTTTTTTTTTTTTTTGGAGACAGTCTTGCTTTGTCACCCAGACTGTAGTGCAGCGGTGTAGTCATATCTCACTGCAGCCTCAGCCTCTTAGGTTCAAGTGATCCTCCCACCTCAGCCTCCTGGATAGCTGGGACTTCAGATGTATATCACCATAGCTGACTAATTTTTCTATTTTTTGTAGAACGAGGGTCTTGTAATGTTGGCTAGCTGGTCTCAAACTCCTGGCCTCAAGTGATCCTACCACTTAGGCCTCCCAAAATGCTGAGATTACAGGTGTGAGCCACCATCATACTAAGCCTGAACCACTTCACATTCATCTTTGGCTGACTTGACCAGAGGTTTTTTGTTTGTTTGTTTGTTTGTTTGTTTACGGTAAGTAATAGCACCCAGCTGGGCTTGGTGGCTCATGCCTGTAATCCCAGGACTTTGGGAGGCCTAGACAGGCAGAGCACTTGAAATCAGGAGTTTGAGACCAGCCTGGCCAACATGGTGATACTCTGTCTCTACTAAAAATACAGAAATTAGCCAAGTGTAGTGGCACATGCTTGTAATCCCAGCTTCTCAGGAGGCTGAGGCAGAAGAATCGCCGCTTAAACCTGGGAGGCACAGGTTGCAGTGAGACGAGATCACATCACTGCATTCCAGTCTGGATAATGGAACAACACTCCAATCTCAAAAACAAAACAAAACAAAACAAAACAAAACAAAAAAAAAAACAAAACAAAAAAAAAACACCAAAAACAAAAACAAAAGCAAGACTGTTCTTTAATGATCTCTGCCTCATAGTAGCCTGGGGTCTGTAATACAGCTGCCTCAGAGACAATTAGGAAACCCACTGATGGCCAGGGAACTAGGAGACAGGGAGGGAGGAAGGGTCTAGAGGGAGACTCAGGGATCCTGTAAGGAAAAGTCACTCAGGAGATGCAGGGAACAATGACGGGTCTCAGATCCAGAGCCGTCATGGAATTTTTCTATTTTTTATTTGAAGTGAACTGAGTATGTGTCTGTGTGTGTCTATGTGTGTGTGTCTATGTGTGTGTTCTAAGGTGTGTATCTGTATGTGTCTATGACAAGGAAACAGAGTGGAAACCAATTACCACAGTAGTAGCCATGGGATTAAAGGAAACTAGCAATTCTATGTTAGCATATAGCAAAGCATCTTGTTTTCAGTCATGTTTTGCAGTTTTATTATTTTTTTAAATGCCCTTCCTCAGTGTATAGAGGTCACACTGAGCAAAGACCACAGCCTAAAATTACTTAATATTTTACCTTTCTATTGCTGCTGGAACAAATGATCCCAAACTTTGTGGCTTACCATAACATGAGTTGATTATCTTATAGTTCTGGGGGTCAGAATCTAAAATGGGGAAAGCAGGGGCTGCATTCTTCCTGGAGGTTCTCTGGGAGAATCCATTTCCAGCTTCTAGAGGCCACCTACATTTTTTGGTTCATCTTCAGAACCAGCAGCGTAGCATCTTCGGATCTCTCTCTATAGATAGATAGATAGAGAGATCGATAGATAGATAGAGAGAGAGAGAGAGAGAGAGAGAGATAGATAGATAGATAGATAGATAGATAGATAGATAGATAGATAATAGAAAGACAGATACATCTGACCTCTGCTTCCACTTCCGTATCTCTTTCCGTCTGTGGCTCTCCTGCCTCCCCGTGTTGGACCCATTCAGATAATCCAGGATAATCCCCATCTCAAGACCCTTAACCAAATCACATCCACAAAGTGCCTTTTGCCATGTAAAGTAACATATTCACAGTGTTGAAGATGAGGATGTGATTTCTTTGGCAGGGAGTATCTGTTATTCAGCCCATCCTACCTAGTACCCCACCAGGAGATTACTTCCATTTCTCAGCTTCTAGAAAGATAGAAAAATGTGATCTGTTTTTCTCCTCAATTACTATTTTCCTGAAATGGGTTCGACCCCTGAATAGTTACATGTTGCTGCATTCTCAGCCTCAAAAGTCCAGATGATCTTTTATTGAGCATCTTTTGCTTTTGGTTTCCAGGCTGTGTCCACAAGTTAAAATGAGTTTGGTCCAGCAGCAAGCCACTCTGTGCTGTCTGCCAGGCATCTCTGGTTTGGGCATGAGCTTCTCAGCCTCATGCTTTATGTAAATTGACTGAGCGTTGCCCAGAAAGGTCAAGCCATGCGGTCTGAGGATCTGGAAATAATAATTTTGCTATACCTTCTTTTCCTAATACTGCAAATTCAGAGTCTACTTCCTTCTTTCTTTCTTTTGTTCTTTCTCTCTTTCTTTCTCCTTCCTTCCTCCCTTTTTTCTTCCTTCCTTCCTTTTTCCTTTCTTTTCTTTTCTTTCTTTTTTCTTTCTTTCTTTCCTTCCTTCTTTCTTTCTCTTTCTTTCTTTCTTTCTTTCCTCTCTCTCTCTCTTTCTTTCTTTTCTTGACAGACTCCAGATCTCTGGAGTGCAGTGGTGCCATCTCGCCTCACTGCAACCTCCATCTCTGGGGTTCAAGCAATTCTTCTGCCTTAGCCTCTGGTGCAGAGTAGCTGTATACTACAGGAACATGTCACCATGCCAGGCCAATTTTTGTGTTTTTAGTAGGACAGGGTTTCACCATGTTGACCACGCTGGTCTTAAACTTCTGACCTCAGGTCATCCATCCACCTCGACCTCCCAAAGTGCTGGGACCACAGGCTTGAGCCACCACACCTGGACGGCTTCTTCATTTCTAAGAAAGAAACACAATTAGGCATATAACAAGGATTTGACTCTCCCTTCTCCTTCCTGCCTCTCATCCATGCATATAATTATGAAAGATCATTTGAATTACGAAGCTTTCCTAAAATATCAATAGGTTCTAACCTTGGCCTGTCATCTGGGTTATCATCGCCTTCTCATTTTTGACAAATGGATTTTTTTTAATATATATACCTAATATCTGACTACTATATGACAGTTTTCAAAACACTTTCCACATGTGGAACTTTGATTCTCACAGCAACCTTATGGGACAAGTAGAACAGAGGTTTTTATCAGCATTTTACAAATGAAGAAGCTGAAATTAGCTAGGTAGGTAGAGCCAGGATCAAACTGGGTTCACTGGTCTAAGACTAGTGAGCTCCATGCCTGGACTGCCACTGTAGAAATCAGATTAAAAGATTCAGCAACAGAGCTTTGTATACATACAGCAGCTCATCAACTGACTTAACGTCTTGTATTTTCCCTGATCAAATTTCCACCAGGAGCTATTTTCTTAATGTGAAACCAATGCTAATTTGTGACTCTCTCTGTCAACCAAAAACGTTCTCATCATCTCATAGGGCTGGGCTGGAGGGGTTTTCAGAGCTCATTTAAAGCCACCGTGTCTCCTTGAACACTTGACCTTAACCATCCTGAACAGGTGAGCTCTTAAAAGTGAGCCCTGCCTTTGAAGCTACAGGTTAAGAGGTAGCATGATCCCCAACTAGTTCCTTCTGGGCTCTAGACCTCAGACATTATTTTCAACTCATCATGTAGTGTAGCTTCCTTCTGGCCTCAGGCCAGGCCACATACTCCCTTGGTCTTTTCAGATTTTACAATCACACTGTCTCCACCAGCTCCAGAAAAAGAACTCCAGAAGCAGATGAAAGAAAATTACCAAGTCATTTCTCAAATGCCTTTTCTCCATCTAGACAGCATCATTCCTGGCCTGGAGGCTTCTTTCCTCAATGGCTTGGCTGGCAGGGAGAAAGGGTGATGGAGGGGCTGCTCTGTTGACTCAGTGAGGAGAGGGAGGCCAGGGGTTACGACAGACGCTGCTTCGGGTGTTCTCTCTTCATGCACTTTGAGAGGCTTCCAAGGCTCAAGACTCCTGGAAAATCAAATGAAAACCTTGTAAAACTCATGCTTCAGTGTCTGGGACACAGGGAGCTCTGCATAAATATCAGCCAACTTTAAAAAACAACAACCTCAGCCGGGCTGAGTGGCTCACGCCTGTAATCCCAGCACTTCGGGAGGCTGAGGCAGGTGGATCACTTGAGGTCAGGCATTTGAGACTAGCCTAGTCAACATGGTGAAACTCTGTCTGTACTGAAAACACAAAAATTAGCCAGGCATGGTGGTGAGCGCCTGTAATTCCAGCTACTCGGGAGGCTGAGGTAGGAGAATCACTGGAACCTGGGAGGCAGAGGTTGCCATGAGCCAAGATCGCGCCATTGCACTCCAGCCTCAGTGACAGAGTGAGTGATACTCCGGAAACAAATCAAAACAAAATGAAACAGAAAGCCCTTGTTTCACCGATGAAGACACTAAATTCCAGAGGTGAGAGATGCCTTGTCTAGGGCGTTCATAGCCAGTCAATGGCAGAGCCAGATTTGAAGCCTCAGCTTCTCAATGATACCAACACTGCTCTTTTTAAACTTTTTTTTGTATTCAGTGTATTTTATTGAATTGAAAATTAATTCCTTTG